GAGTATGTCCCCTAAACTGAAAGAAACTACATTTCTGAAACTTCCCAGCTAATATAAAGAAAAACGCAGATTCATGTCAGGGACTGAGTGTCTTCCATCCCTTTTAATCTAATTTTAAGTCCCTGAGAAAATGTAGCTTCCGGTCCAACTAGCAATCCACTTCCAGAAACGGAGGCCATGTCTATTAAAGCGCAGAGCCCCGTCAGACCCCGCCCCCAGCAGTTCGGAAGCTCGGCTCATTCGCAGCAGGAGGCCAGAGCTGATGGCTCCCATCAGTCTTGGCAGTGGGGACAGGGACACGCAGGGGCAGAGCGGAGGGAAGAGAGGCACAGGTACCTTACACAACAGGCCCAGCTGGAGCCCGCCTGGGGGAGGGGGGAGGGGACCTGCAAGGCTGCCCCTGCCGTCCTCACCAGGTGGGCAAACGCACTGACTCCTCCCTCTCCCTCCCTCCAGGTGGAACGTGCTGGGGCTGCAGGGCGCCCTCCTCTGCCACTTCATCGAGCCCGTGTACCTGCACAGCATCGTTGTGGGCAGCCTGCACCACACGGGCCACCTCTGCCGGGTGCTGAGCCGCAGGGCCGAGGACATCGGCCAGCTGCCCCCCTCATACCGGCACAACCGGCCCCTCCTCAGTGGTAAGAGAACTCGTCCTCAGAAACACACCCCCAGCGGGCTGGCACAGGCAGGCCCCAAAGGGGCCAAATCGGGCAGATTCTATTCATTTTGGCCAATAGATATTTAAGACGTAACGAACAAAATTACAGCTACCCAAAACTTAACAAAGAAGGAAGGCCTGAATGTAGGCCGGGCCACGTTTCAGAGAATGTACAACAGGATGCGCGCGGCACATCCGTGCGCCCTCGTGTGACTGCAGCCGAGGTGCGCACAGTGCCCAGTGGAAGTAAAACTAATGGTGCGCATGTCCAGCAGGACAGCAACGTACCTGTCAGCAGAAGCCTTTCCGATAGAGGGCTTGCAGGTTTGAGGCTGGGGGGCGGGGGATGGTACAGGGCCTGGATGCCCTGATGGGGGCCTGGACTCAGGGTCCCTGTGTTCTCGGCACCAGCGGGCGGTTAGCACACACTGGGGAAGCACATTCTGGAGGCAACTGAGAAAGCCAGCAAGCTCTGAGCATCCTACTCCCAGCTTCGCACACCGCCCATGTCATTGGACCCCAGCGTCCCCACCATGACACGGGGATGGCCAGCCCAGGCCGCCCAGCACCGTGGTGAGGATCAGGAGGCCCGTGGCCTTGGAAGTGTCACGTTCTATGATCACAGGGAGGATCGGTTTGCAAAGGACATGCCTCCACTGTGACGCTGGCCTTCCACACACAGGCCCATGGGGGTTCCTGGCACTGCCTGGAGCGTGTGGAAGCCTCGTCCAGGGCCTGCAGGAAAACACCACCCCTGAGGCAGCTCCAGGCCCAAGCAGGGCGCTCTGAAGGAGCCGCTGGCACCGGCTGCAAAACCAGGCGGGTGGGCCAGGCGGGGAGTAGTGCTGGCGGGTCATGCAGACTACAGCCACTGACTGGTTTACGGCTCTGACAGATTCTCTGAAACAGAAAATTGGAAGCTAGGAGACCTGTTTCCACTGTGTGGCTAAGAGTTGGGCCTAAGATGTATTCCCAATGTTATAAAATCGTTCTAAACTATAAAATCAGGGCAGTAAGAGTGCCCCTTGGGGGTGGTAGTGAGAACCAAAAGAAGTAATTCATGAAGAGCACTTACTTAACTTTGCTGAGCAAGTATTCAGGAGAGAGGCCTCTCTGCTCACTCCACCATATACAGGGTGTGGGGGCAAAAGGAGGTTTACGGCTGTTCGTACGGAAATAATCATTAATACAAGCATAAACTCTGGGTTTCGCCTACTTACAACTATAGACCTACTTTTGCCCCATCTGTACTTGACCGGTTCTGCATAGACCAGCCAACACCTATGGGCAAAGCCTGAGGAACACAAGCCCACTTCTTGGCTGCCCTGAATCCTTCAGCCAGAGCTGCGTGTTTGCGAAGAGCCGCCCTGAAGGTTTGCCTTTGGTCCTTCTCAAAGAGACGGGGAGAATGACAACAAACATCTGTGCTTTGCACACTCATCTTTTGAAAAACATAAAGTGCAATGGAAACTGACTGTGGATCCTCACCTACCAGGCTGGGCGGGCGGGGGCGGGGGGGCGTCTGAGCCTCCAACCTCAAGGCTCAGCTTTTATTTTTCTGCATCAAGAAAAATAATGTTATAACCAAGGGCGGAAATCTGGAGAGGACAGGTCATGTCTTTGTTCGTGCTAATGACACATTCAGCAGATGTGATTTTTAGCAGTGAGCATTCTTAGTCCACACTGAAGATTAAACTTATGATTTGCTCTACAGCCCATGACACGGTCTTGGCGATGAGAATGAAATTGAGAGATAGACCAATGGAATTGAGTGTTAGAACTATGAGTTCAGACTCGTGGCTTATGTTCACATGACAAAAATATCAGGAGCAGTGACAGATCGAAAAGAGCCTCAGTCATCTTCCTTCACAGCACATATTTTCCTGAAGTAGTAGGAACGATTAGTCGGTGTATCAGAAGACTCTTCAGATTTCATGTTTTATAAGCAACTGAATTTATCAGAGAGAAGTTTGCTACTTATTGTAACGCCTGCCGACAGTCGGCTGTAACTCCTGCCCAACACCACCTCCAGATCGCGTTCCAGATGCCTCTCTTTAGGGAACAGCAGTGGGTGTGGAGGAGACCTGTTGCCATTTATATCCACATTTTTTCGTGAGTTTGAATTTCCAAAATATTGTCACACTAAGCTGTAGAATCTGATAGGGAATCTCCGGCCTCTTTAATTCAGGAGAAATTTCTGATAGTAATGATCATTAATAGTATCTTGCAAAATAACCCAGTGGGTAGAAGCAAACATTTTCTTTCATGCAGATAGTAAGTAATTTGCAATATTGTCATATTAAAACAAACACAGAAATATTATGGAATGGCCTACAACTTTTTCAAAAGTGTTTAAGAGCTTTAAAAAAGCATCCGACAGACTCCTTTGTCCTCCAGTCACCAGAGATAGGAATTTATCCTCCTGTTCCCTTGAAGGAATTGGAGATTATATATCTTGTTAGAAAAATCTAAAAACAATGCTAATATCTTTTCATGAAGATCAAAAAATTAGATTCAACAAAGAAATATTTAATAAGATATTTACATACATTAGCACTAATCTCCCGAAGCAAATTAGCTCATAGCTTATAAAAAATTAAAACTATAGAAAACACTTGTTTCAGTTGTCTGGGGAGTTCTTTATAAAATATTTGTATATTAGTTAAGTTTCATTTAATTTCCATCATGATTTCAAAGAATTGTTTCACAAAAGAACTGAACATTAAACTTAATTGCATTGCTTCTGAGAATTTCACCATTTAAGGAAAATATGTCCATTATCAATACATTTCATTTATCCAAACCTAAGAAGTTGGTCAGCATAAGCCAGGCACTCATTTAATCATTCAACAAATATGTGTTGATCTTTATGATGTGCCAGCAACAATTTTGCATTGGGAATAGAGCAGTGAATAAGATGGTCAAAAACCAACATACCTTAGGTCAGTGGTCGGCAAACTCATTAGTCAACAGAGCCAAATATCAACAGTACAACAATTGAAATTTCTTTTGAGAGCCGAATTTTTTAAACTTAAACTATATAGGTAGGTACATTGTTATTAACTTAATTAGGGTACTCCTAATGCTTAGGAAGAGCCACACTCAAGGGGCCAAAGAGCCACATGTGGCTTGCAAGCCGCAGTTTGCCGACCATGGCCTTAGGTGATTACATTCCAGTGGGGAAAACAAACGAAGTATAAATGCCTTAAATGCCTTATAGAAAAGTAATGCAAAGAGGCCCCAGCCAGTTTGGCTCAGTGGATGGAGCAGCTGCCCATGGACTGAAGGGGTCACAGGTTCAAATCCAAGGCATATCTTGGCTGCTGGCTCCATCCCCAGCCCTGGTCAGGGGCATGCGGGAGGCAACCAATCAATGTGTCTCTCTCACATCAATGTATTATATTTCTCTCACATTAATGTTTCTCTCTGTCGTTCCCTCTCTCTTCCACTCTCTCTAAAAAAATCAATAGAAAAATATCCTCCGGTGAGGATTAACAAAAAATAAAATTAAATAAATAAATAATAAAAATAATGCAAAGAGGAGATTAAAAAGTGACCATCGTGGCCAGGGAGGGGTCGAAGGGGGAAAAGGAGACATATGTAATACTTTATTTTTTTTAATTTTTTTATTGCTTAAAGTATTACAAAGGGTATTACATATGTGTCCTTTTTTCCCCCGCCCTTGACAATCCCTGGCCTCCCATGCATACAAGTCCTTCGGTTGATCTCTTACTCCCCTCCCTTCTGCCCCCCAACCCTCTCTGGCCTTCCCACTGCAGTTTGACAATCAGTTTGAGGCAGCTCTGCCTCTGTATCTATTATTGTTCAAAAGTTTATAATGGTCTCTATTATCCATGAATGTGTGAGATCATGTGGTATTTTTCCTTCATTGACTGGCTTATTTCACTTAGCATAATGCTCTCCAGTTCCATCCATGCTGTTGCAAATGGTAAGAGTTCCTTCTTTTTTACAGCAGCATAGTATTCCATCGTGTAGATGTACCACAGTTTTCTAATCCATTCATCTACTGATGGGCACTTAGGCTGTTTCCAGATCTTAGCTATGGTGAATTGTGCTGCTATGAACATATGGGTGCATATATCCTTTCTGATTGGTGTTTCTGGTTTCTTGGGATATATTCCTAGAAGTGGGATCACAGGGTCAAATGGGAGTTCCATGTTTTGTTTTTTGAGGAAACTCCATACTGTCTTCCATAGTGGCTGCACCAGTCTGCATTCCCACCAGCAGTGCACGAGTGTTCCTTTTTCTCCACATCCTCTCCAGCACTTGTCGTTTGTTGATTTGTTGATGATAGCCATTCTGACAGGTGTGAGATGGTACCTCATTGTTGTTTTGATTTGCATCTCTCGGATGATTAGTGACTTTGAGCATGTTTTCATATGTCTCTTGGCTTTCTGAATGTCCTCTTTTAAAAGGTGTCTATTTAGGTCCTTTGCCCATTTTTTGATTGGATTGTTTATCTTCCTTTTGTTAAGTTGTATGAGTTCCCTATAAATGTTGGAGATTAGGCCCTTATCAGATATGACATTGGCAAATATGTTTTCCAACCATATGTAATACTTTAAACAATTTTTTTAAAAAGGTATTAATCATGGGAAAAAAAAGTGACAGTCATTCCTGTCAGGGGGTCAGGAAAGATCTGAGAGATGACATCTGAGCCAAGTCCTGGAGGATGAGAGAAGGAGCATGTGGGAGGGACACAATGGAAGAGGGTGGAGCGAAGAACTGAAGGGGGTTCCTGGGGCTCAGGAAGCAGGTGGGCTGCAGCTGCGCTTAGAGGAGTCGTCAGCCAGTCTGCACCCTACAGGAGCAGGCCGCTGCGGGGCTCACAGGGCAGCTTAAAATCATCTCTAACTTCTTAGTCTGGAAAAAGGACAGAATATATTCTTTTTTAAAAAATATATATTTCTATTGATCTCAGAGAGGAAGGGAGAGGGGAGAGAGAGATAGAAACATCAA